ATTTTATGTGATAACTTGTTATTTGAAATATTATTTTTTTTGTAATTGTACCACATAAAATGATTATTGAGGTATTATTATTATTATTAAAGTATTCTACTTAAAGAAATGACGAGTTTTATATTGGGTATTGGCTTAGATTCATTGGACAAAAAAAAGGGCTGAGTAAATGGCAACGGGAGAAAAATGACGAAAAGCAAACTTCAAAAATCATATAGCTAAATTAATATAAAAAAAAATTATGGAAGGCCCTGTTTAGGAGAGATTTATGTTTTTCTATAGTAAATTAATTCTCATTTTCAACCACATATTTTTCAATAAAATAATATTTTCCATCACATCAATAATTTTTTCTTCTTTTTCAACCACACATCTCCCGTCATATAACTATTCAAAATCAATTCTTCCCCCCCCCAAAATCCCTCCCAAACAAGCTCGAAATATTAGAAATTTCAATTCTAAGCGAAATAGTACCAATCTTTCACCTTCACGTGTTTGCCGAGGAACAACGGGAATATAAGAAGTCTCCACGTGTGAGGACATAAATGCACCACGTGCCAAGCATATTGATATTGCCATTTTAATCTGAAATTTCGATAATGTTATATTTTTAAGTAACGTTATTCATTCTCAGTAGAGTTACAAACACAGTCTCTAAATGATAAGTTAAATGAAAGGTGAAATTAAATAACTTATTCAATTTCACATATCATTTAATGTCACATTAACGCCACCTAGACTGTGTTTGTAATCTCAGTGAGAATGAATAGCATTACTCAATTTTTTTCCCATACACTAACTCCAACATTGCATGTGAATCTGTGATACCCCAATTTTTATATTCTACCACGCTTGCTACAAAGTTGCAAATGGTTGTTTTATGTGCACTTAACAGATTTTCGGATAGTTGCTCATTAATTATTAGTAAGTGGGCAAAAGTATTGGAATCAAAACCAAGCTTTCTAAGAAGTTAGAGACTTAGGGCGTGTTCGGTAGAGATTAAAATAGAATTAAAATTGAAAAATTAGCCGTTATTGTTGACTTTTATTAAACGAGTGAGACTCAATAACAGCTATATTTTCAATTTTAATTGAATTTTAAGCTTGGTGAAACAAGTTCTTAAATTGTAATTAAAGAATTTGGCATCCTTGGGATTCTAAACCCCTGTTCGGTGACCTTTATTTTAACTTTCTTTACTTTAATTTATTTTTCATATTCATTTTCAATCACACGTTAACACAGTAAAATATTCTGCACGCAAATCCAAATATTTTCTCTATTTTTTAATCACATATTTTTCAAAAAAAATATTATTCAAAACATAGTTTTTTAAGTTTAAAGGCC